GCTGACAGGTAAGCTCTTCCTGCGAACAAAGGTTAGAGCTTACAAACAACTAATCCGCCCGGTGCTGACCTACGGATCTCCTGCATGGTCCACGGCCAGCACCTGCCCGAAACACAAGCTGGCAGTAATCCAGAATCGGATACTGACGATAGCAGCCAAGGCCCCGTACTTTGTCAGAAATTTCACCTTGCAAAGAGACCTCAAAACAGATGACCTGCTGGACCATATCCGGAACTTAACATCAAAGTTCCTGGATACCGCCCGGCAAAGCAAGAATCCCACAATCTGGGTTTCTTGCAAAAAGAAGTTACCCTGTGACCGCAGACCTCTCCCTGCGGACACAGTCCAAGAAGAAGACGTGGACCACATGCGATGACCAGTTCCTCCATCACATCGAGGACCATGGGATAACTCTAAGTTAGTTATAGGAAGCAAGAGAGGCTGTTAGGTTTAGGTTTAGATTAGGTTTGTTAGGTTAAGTTAGATTAAGTTATACGATGACATATCTTAAGTTTCACAGAGTGTTAGACACTCTAACGATGTTAGATTTAAGGACTCGTATATAAGTAGCAGTAGGAAGTTTGTAAACTTAGCTGAAAATAAATATGTTCAAATAGTTAGGTCTTTGGCTTCCCTTCAGGAAGGCCTTTTGTCCTTATTCAATGTCCCTCGAATCAATTGAAACCGCGACGCGGATCTCCTGACGTTGTCGTGCATAAGAATAGCTCGGGAATGTCCATGTTAGGGCACTGCCCAGGTAATGGATGACTTAGCGTGCCTATTTAGATCATGAGCAAAGGGAGCAACCGGTCTTGGCCATGTTGTAACTTTGTATGCATTACACCATTGTAAATATTTAATAAATTTTATATATCTATCTAAATGTCTATCTATCTATCTCGATCAGACCGAGTTTGGTATGACAATAATGGATCATTGACTCACTATCCGACTTTTTCCTGGCCAGCATTTCCTTCGGGAGGTACGCGTGATCGTGCTGCTTCGGAAACCCGTTTACCAACGCCTGTTACCATTCCCCCTCTCTAAAGTTGTAGTTATCGAGCCTACTAAACCACGCCCGTGCAGCGCCTTGCAAGTTAACCTTCATAAAATAGACTCGTTGGTACTCTGACCAGCCATCAATCTCACCCAGTGGGTCAATCTTTGCTGTCTGGACCGAATGGCTCGAGAATTTCGCCATCTGCCCTGACCCTTGTGGGACCACCAAAGGCATTAATAAATAGACCAAGCTAGTCATTCATAAATCCCAATTTGTTTGGGTCCAACATTAAATTCTATCGATCAGCGATTTATCAATAAAGAACAGGTGGTAGGGATAAAGTAGGTACCGAGCAGAGTAGAATTAATCGGAAAATCAACTGGCCTGGCTGCTAGCCATAGGCGTAGTAAAAATCTGTATTAATCGATTTATTCAAGCATGAAAGATTCATTGATTTTCTGACCTTTATCTCTACATTATATGTTTGAAATTATAAACGCTATAATAGCAACGCACATTTTTTAAGCATTTGATAGCGATTCAATAGGGATCGAATATGGCTCTAAGCTTATAAATTCAAAACAACCCACACCGCTGGTCCCTGTTTACAATCGTGCAAAACAGTACAGGTTAAGAAAATTTAGAACGATTTTCCTGCAATTGAAACGACTTCGCACGATTTCTTTTAAGCGTAACAGTTTATTAATATTACGATTATCACTTGTTATCACCAAAAACACGAGAAATTGCCGTATTTACTTGTCCAACAAATCCTCTTCCCCTCTTACTATCATGTACTCCGCCCTTTTTCGGTGATGTCATGATGAATGTTTCATTATGTTTTCTGGTAATTACCACCCAAAAATTCGTATGAATTTTTAAATATAAAATTTCGACGCTGTTATTTTAATGACATTTGCTTGTCGCTTATTACAAACTAACCAAATATAACATTAAATATATTCATGGCTACCGTTTTCCTGATATTTTCTTGTTGATGCCACTCATATATATCAAATTGAATACCGAGCCGGCAAAGCAGCCTCGTAAATACCTACTTTTGTATAGACTGTGAACCAATGTTCCCATAGAAAAAGGTAAACAAATGCATCTGTTTAATCTGAGGGGACCACGGCACGCCCCACGAGCTAGCCTGATTCGGCCGCTTTAGTGCTGCAAAATTGCCGTTTTGACCGCCTTGGAGGTCACGCTATCACCTGGATTAGAGCCAGTCTCCCCCTCTTCTAGCTCACAATCCAAAACATCCTCCATATCCTGATCATCGCCCTTGCCGATCATCATTCGAGATTGTTCGCCGCACCACAACTTCACTTATTATGAGCAAATAATCCACCCGTGGTGCATTATTTGCACCAAAAACGGTCACTCGTCCTACGCCGCGAGTCTACTAATTCCACTTTCGATATTGTTAGATTTAATTCGCAAACAAATACAATCGAAGATTGAGCAATTCAACTAACGCTTGTTTTCTTGGCACAATCTCAATCAATCAATGAATCAATCAATGATTATCGAAGAATTCCTGGAAAACGGCCAGCTATTGCCCGGAAGTACCTCCGCGCCATCTAATGTTCCTGCTATGAAGTAGCAGCGATGTTAACACTCCCGTTTGTCCCACCCTCCAGTGTTGCCGTTCCCGCGAGATTTCGGCGATCACCGAGGTTGGCTACAATATATGATTTGGCGACGAGTTGGAAGCGTATTTTTCGATTAAATGAATGCACAGTTAAAGACAGAAATAAAAGTAAAAGGTGACCGTATGCATTTATTTGCACCATTTGGAAATAAATGTTCTTGCGCCTGCTTTCCGGTATCCGGCGGCAAAAAGTGCCAACTTTTCTAACTACAAAAATATGAGACATCGACTATATTGACTGACGAGATACAATTCAATCATTCAAATACACAAAATAATTTAAAACTATAAATGAATCAAATAAAAGCAGAACCTAGAAGATTAAAACTCTTAAGTGAGATCCACAGGAATATTTTAAAATACAAATTAGCTCATGCATAAAGTATGAAATAGCATATATGTAAAGAGAGACATTTTAAATGGAGACCTGAAAAATATCGATTTTTTCCCACATAAATAAAAAATATTTTATAGCTAATTTCTCCGCTACAAATGATAGCCTGTGTGTTATACTATTTATATATCAGCATGGGACGTTTATAGAAATAGCGCTCCAAACAGAAATCAATCATAGTGTTCTTATTTTGACGATAAGTTGATTTAAAAACTATCCCTATTTAGAATCTGTTAAATTTTGATAGGACATCCCGGATATTTTTTACCGTTTTGTGTCTAGCCAAAGTAAATAGGATATAACAAAATAGAGCTAAAAGAGCTAATTATTAATTTCATCATTTTTCAGATTTGGCAAGAACCTAAGTAATTCAACTAAGTACGTGGTATTTGTGGAGTTTCTTGTAAACTGCATTAATTTTGTTTCAGTTGCCTCCCAATTTGCCAACTAACACTAGTCGCTCTTATAACAGAAAACAATATTTGGAAATACTGATGAAATCTTGAACTTAATCGACAAGGTAAACCAATTAAAAAATCCAACAGTACCATCAATTTATCGTGTGAAAGCTAGAAAATCGCAATACCAAATAAACAACTTTCTACGTCCAAACTGGAGGGGATTTTCTATTTATTCTGTCCGATTTTACCGTTTTAGTCAGGCAAGTTTTTGCTTTGAGATGGCTTGCAAAAGAGATCAAATTTCAGCCCAGCAAACACACCCCGGTCCCTGAGACATCCCACGGAAGTCATTACAGGGTATAGGCCTAAGTCCCTCGGACGTCCCGGTACGTCCCCATATTTACGTGAAACGTTCATGGGACATACTTTTGGGACTATTCCTGTAAAGGTCATTTGGAATATTACGGGGATTATAGACGGGTTGCTTAGAGAACATCTGTGAAACGTTCTTAGGTTAATTAGCCATCCGTCAAATTATTGCTAGGAGCAAATATGTATAAAGTAAAAAAAAACTCTCTAAAAATGTTGAAGGTAGCTTCATTATTTGAAAAATTTAGAGCGGAAGCAATTTAGAATAAACAACACACTGAACCCATAACATATACCTACCTATATTTCAAAACAAACAAAAAGCGATTACGCATGGTATCAAACTAAACTTATTTTTGCTATGGTCTTCTATCTGAAGCAGGTAAAGTTAATGTTTTCCTTTTCAGTCTTTTCGGCGCGTACCTGAGCCAATTTTGAGCTTCAATTTCAATGCCTTTTCTTCGTGGTATAAACAGCGGATTTTTAGCAACCCATCTGTAATAAAAACGAGATATATTTTATCATTTATAAGTCCAACTAAAGGTTCTTCGACAGCTTCTACTTCAGGCCTCGCCACCGATGTTAGAACTTGTTCACTAAGTATATTCGGATCACAGCGAGGGTTAGGCAAAGTCAGATTCTTAAGGCCCTCATTCGAATGCTGACCTCATAAGAACATTGTAAACTATTGTAACGGAAATGGCCTGGGGTACTCACGTTTGGAATGTATGATCGAAATTCATGGTGTTTCAGTAAATGGGAGCCCCATTTGGGCCCCATTTACTGTCAAATATGACACTGACAAGCGGGAAGTTTCGCACCTGTTCTGGAGATTTCTAGAACTATCTGGAATACCTGGAGAAAAGGATATAAGCGACTACGAGAACCAGACGAGGGGGAGTGAAGTGACAGGAGCGACCGAGTGCAGAAGAAGGTTAAACCCGCGAGTCGGAAACGCGTGTTTTCCGTTTGTTATTGTTGTTGTTTGTGAAGTTGACGTTAATTTAGAAGTTAGTTTGTTCCTGTTCCGAAGTTAAAGTTGTACCGAGTGGAATAAAAGTTGTAAGTTGAAGAAAGAATTTGATACTCGGCCATCCACGGTACACTATTTAATAATGTTAATACTTGTTCTTTCATTTATTTAACGGTGATTTAAGATTTTGCTCTAAGAAAATGGCTTTTCAATGAGTTTGAATGATTACCTTTCTGGTTTGATACCTACTGCCTAACAAATCCCATGCTTTATGATAATTAGCGTCAGAAACTTCGATGGAGGTCAATGAATTAGCAGCATCTCAATTGGTGCAAGATTTTAAGTACCAAAACTTTTCGACGTTGTTGATAGATGATGGGTTATTATGAATTGAAGAATTATACGAATCTTCAAAATACCGATCTAGTTTACCTTTGGCTTTACCTGTGGGGCTAAAGAACTCAGTCTCAAATTCAATTTGATAATCTGAGTAATCTGTGGTGACAAGAAACAATTAATTCTAAATCTCCCTGAACCCCCGTAAATTCGGCCCATAGCGACTGAACTTTTTCTAACCTTACCTGAAATTCACATATTCTCTTAAGATCGAAAAATTAATTCCCTTGGTCTGGAGGGGGAAGCGAGAATGCGTCGAAAATTCGGGATCTGGTTTCAATAAAATTTTAAATTTTATGTGCTTTCGTCATTTTGTCCTCAGTTATTGATTTAGCTACTAATTGAATATGATTGTGTATTGCACAATATTGCATGCAGCACCGATTATAGCAAGCAAAAATAAATTAAAGGTTTTGTTCGATTCGAATAAATATTAATTATTGAAAAATAAATGGTTTATATTGCCCCCAACAACAGACTACAACCGATGACCTAAAATATATCATTTTCTGTTGGTGCTGGAAAATCGATGGCTCTTAAATCATGTAACCTTTTATAATGGCAAGGATGCAATATTTGCATTTAAGTCATTCTTCCGATCTGAAAATATGGTTTCAATTAAATCATGTGTTGTATGTCCTTGTGCAATATTTTATTTTTTTCATCCTTTATCCGTTTTTTTAATAATCAAAAAAATTACACGAATGCATTCACTAGCTTTTGCTATTTGAGGATTATATGAAATTATATTTAGCGCTCCGTCTAAAGCATACTTACCCAAACGTCGTCCTTGTCCTCGGGAGCGTCTAAATGATCCTTGATCTCTTAAATTCCCCCATTAATGTCCAGTGCCAAATAATTTCCTATGTGGTAATCTGCTTGTTGGATACCGCCTTTGACACTCTCGTAGAGCAGCTCGTGCCTTACCATTGCAGTAACCATAAATGAAATGAATATCAGCTGACTCCTTGTTGGAAGTGATGAGAACAGACATATTTTTTTACGCAAAAACTATGAACGCTACAAGGTTTTATAATGAGCACAAAACGGTGGACAAATCAATAGTGCATCAACCTAAAAAAAATGAGTTGATTTTATCCTCCAACTAAAAAGTTAGTAGGTAGTTCTTGTACCATGACACTCAAAACGGCTGAACATCGTACCAGTCTCCCGGTATTTCGAAAAAGATAATTTTTTTGGAAAACTTCGACCATCGATAGCAAGGAGCCAGACATTTTTTGTTAATAAAAGTTAGGTCAGATCGTCTTCTTTTGGTACACAGAATATCGCAGTACCCTTTTGATCATGAGCTTACGGGACACCCTGTATTTTAAGTCATTTAGTTGGAAAACGGTGCGGCTGAGCGAAGTAAATTAAGAGTTTCTTTTCTTCGTGAAATACTTCAGGTTTCCACAATTTGTAAAAAAAAGACTGATTTACAGTATCAGAAAAAAGTTCGAGCTTTTTTTCTACTTCTAACCCAAACTAACCCAAATTATACGTCTATGATAAAATTCTGACAGTTTTAATTTCAGATATAGATTCAGCATACCAAACTTACTAAAGCTTAGAAATAATTTGCAAAAAACTCTACTACTGGGCCCCTCTTCAAAAAGGCGTAGCTCCGTTAGGGAACATTTTTCGATACCTCTTCATTTGAAAAATTAAACCCTGTATGTCTTTCAGTTTTTTTCATGCTACGTTAAGATTTTCATTTTGCACTATTGGATTATCAGCAATATGCTGTTTGCATAGATCTGAGTAACGTGGCTTAGCGCTTTCGTGGTTGAGCGATTCTATGTTGAATTTTTCGGTTTTAATTGAAAAAAAATTGATTAAAATATCAAAATAAGTCAAATCAAATAAAATACCGCGGATTAGGACTCTTAAACGTCAACCAACGTAATTTTTTTAAATTCAAATTAGCGTATGCATAAAATATAAAACGACATATGTAGGAGCACTTTAAGTGGAGCCTTGAAAAATATCAGTTTTTCTTTCCACATAAATGAAACATTTTTTTAGCTAAACGTCCGGCTCAAATGATAGTGTATTAATTTAATTAATTCGTGTCAATCAAGCGACGTCCCTTTATCTGAAAGAATCTGCTTTGAAATGTACAGTAAGCAAGAGAGTCTGCTTGGCATGTTGAAGCCAATGATGATGTTCACTGGAACATGGAGACTAGATGGCATGAATTCCACCGTCTGCTGGTTCTACTGGTTATACAGTCTCATTTTCCATGGCTTCGGCGTACTATTTATCATCTCGATAGTCGCCAAGTTCGTTGAAATTGTTAAACCAGGTGCTGACAGTGAGGACATCATTTCAAGCCAAGTATTTTTGCTGTCTGGTACTTGTATATTTAGCAAGTTTCTTATACAGGGTTGCTCATTAGTGCGTCAAAGTGCGATATCTCAGTAAATATGAAGTTTACAAGAAAATTCGTCCAACGAAAGTTTTTCACGTTCAAAATTCAAAAGGTCCACATTCTAAAATTACTTTCCAATATACAGGGTGCATCATAAACGTGTGGTAGTTACCAACTATGGTTTTTTAAATGAAACCCCCCCTTTTTTTTGTTATTTTCAGATTGGCCGTTCAATTTTAATTTATGTTTGTTTCAACCGTTTTATCTGAAAAATTTACGATTTCCGAGTTATTCGTAAAAATGTGAAAGTTTTGACAGCTACTGGGTTCCACAGAAATCGATGCTGTACACTACCCGCTGCGAATTTTGGAAAACAGTTTTCCGCGATTCTAACGGAACATCATGATCTACGCGTAGATATGTTTTAAATTATAAGGAAATACTTCTAAACCGCGCAATTAGCCTCTAAACTTGCATGTTTTTAAACCTC